CCAAAGCATAAGAGACTCTTAAAAACTGAGAACAAACTGAGGGTTGATGGGGGGAGGGAGGGAGGAGAGGGTGGGCGATGGGTATTGAGGAGGGCACCTTTTGGGATGAGCACTGGGTGTTGTATGGAAACCAATTTGACAATAAATTTCATATATTGAAAAATAAATAAATAAAAATAAAATAAAAACAAACAAAAAACCTGCATTTGGACTTCTCCCAGACTCTGCCCTGTGCATCTTTTCCTATGATTAATTTTATCCTGTGTCCTTTCCCTGCAAGAAATTATAAACATAATAGTTTTTAGTGAGTTCTGTGAGAGCTTCCATTAAATTACCAAACCTGAGAGAGTTTTTGGAAACACTTCACGGTTTTCCCTACCAAATTTACAATTGCTGTTAAAAGTGTGGGCAGTCTTGTGAGGACTGTTCCTGGTTGACTAAACTCTTTGTATATCATTACAGAAATAAAAAAAGGATTGTAAAGAAATACTATAAACATGCTAAAAAAATTATAAAACCTAAATGAAATTAACAAATTTATATTTAAAAAAAAACTACCAGGGGTGCCTAGGTGGCTCAGTTGGTTGAGTGTCCGACTTCAGCTCAGGTCATGATCTCATCGTCTGTGAGTTTGAGCCCTGCGTCGGGCTCTGCGCTGACAGCTCAGAGCCTGGAGCCTGTTTCCGATTCTGTGTCTCCCTCTCTCTCTGACCCTCCCCCATTCATACTCTCTCTGTTTCAAAAATAAATAAACGTTAAAAAAAAAAAAAACTACCAAAGTGACTCAAGTAAATCTGAATAGACCTATTGTAATTAAAGAGATTGAGGTAGTCATCAAAAAGTCCCACAAGGAAAACTGGAAACCCAGATGGCCTCACCAGTAAATTCTGTGAAACATTTAAAGAAGAACTAACACCAATCCTTTATAAGCTCTTCCAGAAAATAGTAAAGAAGGGAACATTTCCCAGCTTGTTCTTTGAAGCCAGAATTACCCTGATACAAAAACCAAAGATACCACAAGGAAAGAAAACTACAAACCACTATCCTTTACTAATATAGTAAAAATTCTCAACCAAATAGGATTAAACTGAATTCAACAGCATATAAAATGGGTTATATATCATGACAAACAGAATTTATCTCATGAACATGGGAATTCATATGTGGATCAACATATAAAAATCAGTCAGTATTGCAAACCATATTAATGAAATAAAGACCAAAACCAAATGATCCTCTTAATAGACTTAAACAATGCATTTGACATAATCCAATGCACTTTCATGATAAAAGCACTCAACGATTAGGAATAGAATGAAACTCCCAAGCTTAATAAAGATAATCTACAAAAAAACCAAACCAAAACAAAACAAAAAACCGAAAACATAGGTAACATCATACTTCATGGTGAGCTAATAAAATCTTTTCCTCTAAGGTCAAAAATAAGACAAGGATGTCCACTCGCATGACTTCTATTTACATTGTACTGGAGGTTTTATCCAGGCTAATGATGCAATGAAAAAAACAAAGCATTCACATTGTAAAGGAAGATGTAAAATTATCAGAGATGGCATGATCTTATATACAGAAAATCTTAAAGAATCCACGCACATCGACACATAAATCTATTAGAAGTAATGAATGAGTTAAGTTTGTAAGATGCAAGATTCATATTAAAAAACTAATTATATGACAATACACCACCAATGAAAAATCCAAAAGCAAAAGTAAGAAAACAATCAACAATCAATTTACAATACCATCAAAAATAGTAAAATATTCAGGAATAAATTTAAACAAGGAGGTTCAAGACATGTACACTGAAATCTTCAAAACATTGCTGAAAGAAGTCTTAAATAAATGGAAAAACTTCCTGTGTTCTAGATCAGAAGACCAGAAGGCTTAATATTATTAAGATGGCATTACTCCCCAAATCTACATTCAACATTGTCCTTCTCAACATCTCAGCCTTTCCCCCCACCCCCTTTGGCAGAAATTGACAACTGATCCTAAAATTTATATAAAAATGCAAGAACTCAGAGTCATCAAAACTACCTTGGAACAGAACAAAAGTGGAGGACTTATGCTTCTTCATTTTAAAATTTAGTGAGGCACCTGGGTGGCTCAGTCAGTTGAGCGTCTGACTCTTGATTTCAACTCAAGTCAGGATCTCAGATTTCTTGGGATCAAGCCCCACATCTGGCTCTGCACTGACAGCCCAGAAACTGCTTGGGATTATTTCTCTCTCTCTCTCTCTCTCTCTCTCTCTCTCTCTCTCTCTCTCTCTCTCTCTCTCTCTCTCTCTCTCTCTCTCTCTCTCTCTGCCCTACCCTCTCAAAGTAAATAAATAAACTTTAAAAAATAAAATTAAAATAAATAAAACTTAGTATAAAGCTACAGTAATCAGGGGGCACCTGAGTGGCTCAGTTGGTTAAGCATCCAACTTCGGCTAAGATCATGATCTTAGTCAAAGAATTTGAATAGGCATTTCTCCAAAGAAGACACTTCTCCAAAGACATATATCCAAAGAAGTTATACAGATGGCCAATAAGCACATGAAAGATGCTCAGCATCAGTAGTTACTAGAGAAATGAAAATCAAAATAACGATGAGTTACCACTTCACACACATTAGGATAGTTAGAAATCATAGACATAAACAATGTTAGTGATGATGTAGAAAAATTGGAACTTTCATACATTGCTGGTGGAATTGTAAAATGGTGCAGCCATTTTGCCAAAAAAAAAAAAAAAAAAAAAAAAAAAAAAAAGAGTTTGGCAGTTTCTCAAAATGTTAAACAGAATTACCATATGACCTAGCATTTTTACTAAGTAAAAGTGAATTGAAAGAATTGAAAACCTGTCCACACAAAAGACTGTGCACAAAATTTCATAGCAACATTATTCATAACAGCCCCAAAGTGGAAAGAACTTTTTAAAGAATTGCTGTATGTCTGGGGTGCCTGGGAGGCTCAGTCAGTTGAGTGGCCGACTCTCAGTTTTGGTTTAGGTCATGATCCCAGGTTTGTGGGATCGAGCCCCACAACAAGCTCCACACTGAGAGTGAATCCTGCTTCAGATTCTCTCTCTCCCTCTCTTTTTCCCCCTCTGCCCCTCTCACCTGCTTGCATGTTGCATAATCTAAGAAGAAAGAAAGAAAGGAAAGAAAGAAAGAAAGAAAGAAAGAAAGAAAGAAAGAAAGAAAGAAAGAAAGAAAAAAGAAAAAGAAAGAAAGAAAGAAAGAAAGAAAGAAAGAAAGAAAGAAAGAAAGAAAGAAAGAAAGAAAGAAAGAAAAGAAAGAGAGGGAGAGGAAGGAAGGAAGGAAGGAAGGAAGGAAGGAAGGAAGGAAGGAAGGAATTGCCATATATCTAGTGAGTTTTATGCGATACTAGTATGTCCTTCCTGAAATTTTTTTTAATATTTATTTGTTTTAGGGAGAGCACAAGTGGGGGAAGGGCAGAGAGAGGGGGACAGAGGATCTGAAGTGGGCTCTGTGCTGACAGGCTAACAGCAGTGAATCTGATGTCGAGCTCGAACTCACAAACTTCGAGATCATGACCTGACCCGAAGCCGGATGCTCAACTGACTGAGCCACCCAGGTGCCCCCTTCCTGACACTTTTAAGTTAGCCTATAAATTCTAGGAACATAAAAATCAGGTGAGTATTAGAGAATATAGTTTGAGAAAGGAGAGAAATTATAAACGAAATACTACATTGTGAAACTTTTATAGTGTGTGTATTTGTGAGTTTTGCATGCAGATAAGTCAGATGAGTTATTAGTTATCTCTGGTAATGTGGAAAATTACTAATCTATTATTAAAACAGGTATGTTTATAAATTTGAAAAAGCAAAACATTTATTAAAAAGGATTGAAAGGGCTTGGGCATACAGTTCAAGTGGTGATGAGTTTTTAACTTCAAGCCTATAAAAATTGGGGGCAATACTCTAACTCTTGGACTTTTTCTACTGTGTTCACAGAGTACAAGTACTATTGAAAAGCTTTTCACTTATTTTATAACATAAGTTTAAGGGGTTTTATGGAAGTGCTTTTTATTGACCTACTTGTTATGTACTATTTTAATTTCATATCCTTTAGATATTTGGATTTGCACTGCATTTTGGAATTCATCTTCACTTACAATGTCACCATCAAATGGAGGTCCAGTTCGACCCAGCCCCCCAGATGGAGGCTGGGGTTGGGCAGTGGTTACTGGAGCTTTTATTTCTATTGGCTTCTCTTGTGCATTTGGCAAATCTATTTCTGTATTTTACAAAGAAATTGAAGAAATATTTAATGCCAGCACCAGCGAAGTGTCATGGATCTCTTCTATTATGTTCGCTGTCATGTATGCTGGAGGTAAGTACCCCGAAGGTCTGTACTTTTAGCTTTCAAAAGGTGGACAAAAACCCCATATTGAATACTTTTTGTTCTTGATGCCTTTCTGTGTAAGATACTTGAAATGTTAGTTTTTGAGGCTATGCGATTTGAGTCATATTTTTCATTCCCTTTAACAATAAAGGCTACATACAACTGTGAGCTGTTAGCTCAGTTATATTGCAAAGCAGATATCATTATGAAGGATAACTTTCACTAAAAATGATTATGTGTGGTTGCTGGTATATGGAATGTCAACTGATGTTTTATGTTTTAATCATATATCCTTGCTAAACTCTTAATACTTCCAATAGTTTATTGGTAGGTGTTTTTTTTTTTTTCTTCAAAATTTTAAGATAGACTAACATATCTTTTGCAAATACTGATAGTTTGGTTTCTTCCTTTCCTTACACCTTTTTCCCCCCTCTCTTACTGCGCTGGCTCGGACCTCCAGTATAATGTTGAAGAAAAGTGGTGATGGTAGGCATTCTTGTTTTGTAGTTCTGTTTTGGTTTTGTTGTTTTCTCTGAGAAACAAAGTACCTTTTAGCTAACTTGAAAATATGCTCTAAAGTCAGAAGTTTGATCAGGCTCATACATCTCATCATGTTCATGTGCATTTGCTCCAGATGATCATCTAAAAAATTAAAAACAGAGCAAACTTGCTACATATATATATGTCAGTAATATCCTAGATACATGAAGAATCCTATAAATACTTATTTGCAGCCTATTTTGCCTTAAAGGAGATAGGTTAGGTCTTCCATACTTCAGTTAAAATCCATCCAATATGTTGTAAGTGTATAGATGTACAATCAATGCTAGATTTTTCCCATTACACAAACCTGTAACTCTGATATAAAATAGAAAGCACTATTTCTTACCAGTGTCTTCTGTTTCATCTGTTTATTTTGTGGGGTGGGGTACTTATGTCTTGGCATCCTTTCGTGTCAGTAATGCCTTGTGCAGGTGTGGATGGGAGTGGGGGGCTTCTCCTCTATGTTACTGAGTTACTCGCTCTCTCCCAGGTCCTATCAGCAGTATCCTGGTGAATAAATATGGCAGTCGTCCAACCATGATTGTTGGTGGCTGCTTGACAGGCTGTGGCTTGATTGCAGCTTCTTTCTCCAACACTGTACAGGAACTTTACTTGTACATTGGATTCATTGGAGGTGAGTTGCTACTGATGTATTTTGAAGCATTAATTTTTATGCAGATTATTTGTAGCATTCATCTGCCAATTCTTTTGAGAAATGAAAGTTCTTAGAAAAATGATTGGGCTCCCATTTTTAAGAGCTATAGATATGTTAATTTCATAGTACCAGAAAAACATGTCTTTAAAGAAAGTTCTGGGGGCGCCTGGGTGGCTCAGTTGGTTGGATGTCCGACTTCGGCTCAGGTCATGATCTCGCGGTCTGTGGGTTCGAGCCCCGCATCGGGCTCTGTGCTGACAGCTCAGAGCCTGAAGGCTGTTTCGGATTCTGTGTCTCCCTCTCTCTGACCCTCCCCCGTTCATGCTCTGTCTCTCTCGGTCTCAAAAATAAATAAACGTTAAAAAAAATTTTTTTTAAAAAAGAAAGAAAGTTCTGGCACTTTGGGTGGTTATTTTTTTTTAAGTTGATTTATTTATTTTATTTATTATTTATTTTATCTCTGCTAAAACAGAGAGAGTATAAGCAGAGTGTGAGGCAGAGACAGAGAGAGAGACAGAGAGAGAGAGAGAGAGAGAGAGAATCCCAAGCGGGCTCTTTATCAGCTATCTGCTATCAGTGCAGAGCCCATTGTGGGGCTCAAACTCACAACTGTGAGATCATGACCTAAGCCTATATCAAGAGTCAAACGATTAACTGACTGAGTCATTGGGTGGTTGTATTTTACTGACAGTTTTTCTTTCTTCCTTTTTTTTTCAAGCTTAAGAAACAGTGGTGATAGGGTGTGACAAGTTGCTGAAATGGGGGTTATCGTCTATTCCCACTCATTATCCTTCCACCCAAGAAGAAGTTGGCTCAATTTAGAGTAAGACAAAATGTCAGATACAAAGCAAGAATTTTCTGGTTGAGAATCCATACACATTTTCAAGGGCTTAAGGACACACATGAGAAAACCTCCCTTCCCCCTTTCTTAATAGCTACATTTGGAAAATGAAACTACTAAGGATAAAGAATATAGATCACCCATTACTCTACAATTCAGAGAAAACCATTAATATTTTGATGCTCGTACTTTTTATGCACACACATGTACTTTTCTTAGAAAATAAAGGGGATAAAATTATATATAATGTTTGTAACCGGGTGGTTTTACGTAATAGTGCATTATGTATATAGTCCCCCATTTCAGTAAATATACTGTAGCAGCTACTATTTTCCATTGGATGGATATACCATAGTTTATTTCACCATTCTGGAATAGAAAGACCGTTAGGTTGTTTATATTTTTCACTATTAATAAACCATATTTATATGATAGTACTTCTCTATACATCTTTGTGAACATGATAATTTCCATAGGACAAATTTTAGAAGTAGAATTACTCAGGGAAAAGGTTTTTGATGTGGTTTTTGATATTGTTTTAGAAAGGTTATAATAATGTACAGTCTGACCTGCAGGATGTGAGATAATGCCAATAACAGGTATCATCTTTTTGGATCTGTACTTTGACTACATTCATGAACATTTTAAACATTTAAATATTTTAATCCATCTAGAGCATGTGAATAACATAAGGAACGAACAGAACTTAATTGTTCTCACTTGGCTATTCATCCTGTTTATTACTTCATTTCTTAATTCATTCAGTAAATATTTATTGAGTCCCTATTGATATGTCAGGGACTGTTTCCAAGCTCTGTGGGGATAGAGTCACCATGACAGACAAGGTTCTTCCTTTGTAGTGGAGGGAAGCAGACAATAAACAGACCAACAAATAAATGAATAGATAAATACATATTAGCTAGTGAGAAGTGCTTTGCAAAAACTTAAAACAGAGAATTTTGGTGAAGGATTGAATGACCCCTAAAGGGAAGACCTCTCAATGGGTTATCTTGGGTTGACATGTGAACGATAAGTAGGAGTTCTTCCTCTAGATTTTGTGAAAATCTAGAGGAACAGATGCCCTCAGCATGTCTGAGAATATACTGAGATGTGGGTAGGGAGGTAGGGAAGGGCCAGATCATGGTGCTTCCTAATCCAGGGTGAAGAGCTGTGGATGGCAGTCAGTGGAGGGACTGAATGGGTGGCATTCTGGTCTGGTTTCCCCGGGAAGGGAGCAAGAATGGGAGAACACTTAGTAGGTTATTGGGATACTTGTCTCAGCTCCATTGGTTGAAAAATCTACTCTTCCCTATTTATTTAAATGTATCTTTTGGTTCTGTTTCTGGACTTTTTGCCCAATTTCATTGATCAGTTTTTCCTTTTGACTAAGTGCACACTGTTCTAATTACTGTAGCTGTAACTGTAGCAAATATTTATATATCTGTTAGTGTTGGTCCCACCAATTATTTACCCTTTTTGAATACTTCTGATGCATTTGTTCTCCGGGTATATTTTAGAGTCATTCTACCTCATCTGAAAAATTGAATACATTAGCATTCTCATAGAAATTACATTACATTAATGGATTTACTAAGGTGTATTAGCATCTTCACAGTGTTGTGTTTTACTGTCCCAAAATGTTTTCTCTCTCTTTCCATCCCTCCCTCTTTCTTCTTTTTCTGACCTCAGCCCCTCCACTTATGTCTTACTTCCTGAATTTATGAGATTTATCCTCTCTCCTTTTTGTTTTCAATTCCCTAAATTATGAAATTAAACTAAGGAGTCTACATATATTATTCTTATTGTTGCTAACATCAAAGAATTATTTTAATGTAATATTATAAATCTAGTATTTGCTGCATAAAGAGACTTTATGTCTGTATTTATTCAATAGCAGCCCACTTAATCATCTACTTACTAGTTATAATCACCTCTCTTACAATGATGATTTTGACCTCCTGCCATTCATTTTGTCTAGTTGATCAATAACAAATATGTTTCTGACATTTATTCTGGTATGTAATTCTTTTCCTCCCCTCCACAGGTCTTGGGCTTGCCTTCAACTTGAATCCGGCTCTGACGATGATTGGCAAGTATTTCTACAAGAGGCGACCATTGGCAAATGG